AAAGACTGGCTTTGGGCAGGATAGGAAAGGCCTGGACAGGGACTAGGTGAAAACATCGGGAGGGGTGATGGAGGAGCCTGGGGGCATTCGTGGGGGATGGCCTCGATTTTCTCTGGGATTTTCCATCTTATACCTAGTTCTCTAGCGCCAGTATCTCTGGCACCACCTTTTCACAGCACCATGTTCTTCCCTCATCAGACCCCTTACTGTCCTGCACTCTGAATGTCTTATCTCCACCAGCCTGAAGCTTTCTGAAGACAGGGACCCTATCTGTCGACTCCACTGTTGTATACCTAGCCCTGACAAAGTGCTGGGCTCTGAGTAAATATTCCATTAAAGAAGTAAGAAAAAAAGGCAGGAAGGGAAAGAGGAAGAGAATGTACAGCATGGTTGAGAGCAGGGGAGGGGGTAGACCCCCAGCACAGGCACTTCTGAGGATACAGCCCTGCCTGAAATGTAGGGAGATAAGTCTGGAAGATGAGATGTCAACGTAGAGTGGGTCAGGGTTCTCAACATACCTTGGCCTTTGATCCCAAAAGGCGGCACAAATTCTCGGATCCTTGCCCACTTGCGGAAAGAGTCATCCAGGAACATGGGTGCTGGCTTGGAGAACCTGGAATACAACAGGGCTGTTGAGGATTCCCAAATGCAACAGGCTGGAGTGCTGGCTGGCTCTTCTGTACATGTGTCTTGCCAATGGCTCTGCTGGAAGCCACCGTTCACACCTCAGCATACCCTTCCTACCCCCGCCTGCTCACTGGGTAGCTGCTGTGTGGGTCTGACAGACTGTGTTCAGCAGAGCCTGAGTCTAAAGGAGCAGGTCCGGCCAGTCCGACGTGGCAGCTACAGGAGTGGAGAGCCCAGACCCCTCATCAGGGATCAGCATTTCTGAGCTGGAAGCTCTCTGGCAGGTTGTCCAGGCATGCCCCCCATCAAATAGTAACTGCTGCCCACACTGTTCCTGCGATCTGGGAACAGAGAGAGGAGGCACTGTCCCATGGAGCGGGAAAAGAACCCCAAACAGCCAGTGCAGGGAGACAGAACCCTGGAGAGAATCCTGAGAGGTGGACCACCCAGGGTGCGGAGGAAGGGGAGTTCATGACGAGCGGGCAGAGCTGGTGCACAGCCACAGGAGACAGAGATTTGGAAGAGAAGAGAAAAGCGGCAGGACCCGGAGGCTGGGAGGCAGGGCCGAGGGGAGGCTGCAGACAAGCAGGAGCCTGAGCACATTTGCTGGCAGAGAGAAGGACAGCGGGAACGCAGAGCTCCTCGGGAGGCGAGGGACTGTCACGGAGCTTACGGAGAGGGGTGACTTGGCCTGGAGGGAAGATGGGAGGGAAAAGAGAACGAGGAAGGGGGAAGTGATGCTGAGTTGAGGGGAAGGGAAAAGGCAAGTTTCACCTTTCCTGGGAATGGGCAGGCAGGGTGCAGGCTGGGAGGACGGGACGGCCACACAGGATGCGGAGGGAGCGAGGGCAGAGTGCGAAGGCACAGGAGGAACAAGCTCCTCAGAGATGCGTGGACAGCGCGGCTTCACATGGAGCCCAGCACCTGGAGCCCAGACCTTTCTCAGGGCACCCAGCAGCCTGGAAGGTGGCCGGCGCCTGGGCATCTACTATGTGCCGAGTCTTGTTGGGGGGCGGGCTGAGGGCCTCCCTGGCCAAGAGTGAATGTGTGGAGGCCTAGGCCTTGGTGGCTCTGTCTCTTTGTTTCCAGTTCAACTGAATCAGCCACTGAAAAACTGAAGACTGGAGAAGAGGCCCTGTAAGCTCAGAAGCTAGAACTTACCCTCCCAAGTTCTCTAACTCAAGTTCGCATTTCCTATTCCCACCATCACTAACACCAGGATAATCTCCACGCCCAGGGGAAATTCTATCAGTAACCGCTTGGACGTCTAATATTAGAGATTTTGAAGTGAACCTGAAAGAGGCAGAAAACTTTCACTCCTGCTCCGTCTCGCCGCTGGGAAGACGTGGTCACACTTGATAGCATGGACAGCCCACCCCCGCGCCGCAGCTTTCCTTTGCACTTCTGAGTTAGCACACTCCCCTCTGTGTCAAGGGTCACGCGTGTTTCTCATGCCTAGCCTATAAAACCTGAATGATGGATAGATCTGATGCTACACTAGAGGCACGGAGGATCCTGGCCACAGTCCATGAGTAAGAGCAAAGGAAACAAGGTCCCTGGAAAAGCCTACAGCAAGAACCTCTCCTTCTGTGTTGGAGCTCAGCTGACAAAAGTTTTACAAAGTTTCTCAGTCAGGCTTGGACAGGATTTTATCTGCTTCCAATATGTACTGGATGTCATGTGCTAATGAAATCTCCTAAGATCTAGCCAATTTTTTTCATCTCCCTTCCCTCTTTTTCAGCTGATAAGAAAGTTCATGATGCTAATTTTCACTTAAAAAAAAAATAACACCTTTAAAAAAAAAGATTTTTTTTTATTGTTTAAAGTATTACAGATAGTACATATGTCTCCTTTTTTCCCCCCATTGACCTCCCCCCCTCCTGCCTCCCCCCTCCCATGCCCTCACCCCGCCCCCCAGTGTCTTGTGTCCATTGGTTATGCTTATATGCCTGCATACAAGTCCTTCAGGTTGATCTCTTACCTCCCCCACCCAACACTCCCCAGCCTTCCCATTGTAGTTTGACAAATTGATTTTTAGAGAGAGGAAGGAAGAGAGAAAGAAACATCCACTGGCTGCCTCCTGCACGCCCCCTACTGGGGGATCAAGCAGGCAACCAGGGCATGTGCCCTGACCTGGAATCGAACCTTTTGGTGCACAGGATGACTGCCGCCTAACCAACTGAGCCACACCAGCCAGGGCTAAAATCCCCTCATTTTTAATGTCACTTACATGGTAATTTTGGAGAAATATACAGATAGGTGCACGCACACACAAACTTAATGAAAAATATCCACAATTCTACAATACAGAGACAATTAACTTTTTGGTATACATCTGCACTGATTTTCCTTTTCCCATATATATTTTTTAATATATATTTTATTGATTTTTTACAGAGAGGAAGGGAGAGAGATAGAGAGCTAGAAACATCGATCAGCTGCCTCCTGCACACCTCCTACTGGGGATGTGCCTGCAACCAAGGTACATGCCCTTGACTGGAATCGAACCTAGGACCTTTCAGTCTGCAGGCCGACGCTCTATCCACTGAGCCAAACCGGTTATGGCCCGTATTGTTTTTTAAAAAGCTCTGTAGATTATTTTTTTTTTTTACTTTATAATATCATAAAAACACTGCTATGCAAATGGACACAACTTTCTCCTAATTCACAATAGGCCAAATAACCATAAGTTGCTGGTAATCTGTCACAAATCAACCCTCCAAAAATCAAATGTACAAGGATACACCTTTCCCTGTCTCTTTGCCTGGAAAATCCCTTCTTTAAGTCCAAATGCTACGTCCTCGGGACAGTCTTGCCTGACTCCCGCAGAGAGACTTGTACTCTCCCTCTAGTGTTTCCACTCCGTTTTGTTCAGCCCCCATGGGGTGGCTCAGAGCCTGCAGAGCCTTGGAAGCGGAGCCTGGCAGTAAACAACAGGAAATGGGGTGGGGTGATGGTAGAGGTGGTGTATGTGTGTGTGTTTGTGTTAATTCTGCAGGTGGCCTGGGCAGAGCCTCACGCTGCACCTGGAATAGAATCCAGGGGCTTCTGTCCAGGCTAGGGTGCCAGTTGGGGAGCCTGGTGAGGGCAGAGGTGGCCCCTGAGGTGCAGAATGACTGGTCAGACTAGCGGGGTGTGGGATGCCTGACCTGCTGGCCCTGGCCTAGGGGGTAACAGGGCAGGGTGGGGCAGGCTCCAGTAGGCAGGCCCCAGCCCGCCAGCCCTGGGGAGAGCACCAGCACGAGAGGCAGCCCCAGGATTAGGTTTCAGGAGGGCGTGTGTGAGTGCGTGAGAAGGAACAGGGGAAGGAGAAGACGGAAGTTGCACTGGGACCTGCCTGTCTTTTCCCCTAGATCCTAGAGCGTAGTAGTTTGGGGACTTGGAGCTTTAGAAAGGCATGTGCTGTGGGTGGGTCTAGCCCGGTGCCTCTCACAGCCAGGCTGGGACCCCAGGACCCAAGAGGCTGACCTGCCCATAGAACCTATAGACTCTGACCACTCACTTAGTGCCCAACGGTAAGGCTGAGGTGCTGTGTAGAAGGTGCTGTCTCCAACTCTAGCTCATCGACCTAAACCATTCCCCAAGGCCCAGGACACCAGCCTGTACCCAGAGAGCAGCAGGAAAGCTGACTGGGTCTTAGTAGAGGTTGGGGACTAGTTGCACGTGGGCACCAGCAGCCTCACAGTAAGGTCTTCATCCCACCAACCCAACTGAAAAAGGTGCCTCCAGATGTGGGTTTGCTGTATTAGGGCAACACAGCGCCAGCTCTCCATCTGTGCCTGTTTGCTTGAGTGGCCAGCCCTCTAGCCACCGTGCTCTTCCTCTAGTCTTTCCACTATGTTTTATTCAGCCCCCATGAGGCAGCTCACGGCCTGCAGAGCCTCTAGCCCTCTAGCCACTGTGCCTAGTAAGTGTGAGCAGCCCGAGAGACAAAGGGAAGGCAGAGCCCAGCAGTGGGTCCTGAGAACAGGGCCACAGCAATTAGCCCATTAGATTCAGCCACAGGCCTTGGTCCCTCCAAAAGTGAGACTGTCATTCAATGGGGTACAAGCCAAACCCCACAGATCCACCTTCCTAGAACCTGCTCTGGGAAGTGGCAGGTGGGCAAAGCAGAGGGTCAGAGGTTTCTAGAATCTACCTTGGTCCTATTTGGGATCTTGCTACGGCAGCCCCACCATAAATAGCCCTGCACAGTAAGACCTTGGTGCATGTCCAAGCAAGCAAACAAGCAAGCAAAGTGAGCACTTTCTAAATGCTTTGTCAAGCTTAACGCCTTGCTGCCACTCCCCCTGCCGACCACCTAAATGAATCCCATGGGACAGCAGGCGTCTGAGGAGAAAGGATGGTAGCTCTGGAGGGCAGGTGGGCATATGTCCAAGGGGAAGCAGCCCAAAGGTAGAGGAGACAAACTGCAGGCATCACCCCAAGTACCATTCCAACCATGAGCACGAAGCTCCTGCCCCGTCCAAAACGACTTGCTTACTCAGTGCCAGGTCCTGTGCTGAGCGCTGGCTGGGGACCTAAAGGCCAATCAGCCGTGGACCTTCCCTAAAGGAGCTGATGGTCGACACAGGTAAACAAATAATCATAAAACGGCTGCACATCCTGTGTTCTGGAATAGGTAGGGATTCAAAGGCCTTACACAAACTTAGGGGTATAGGAGAATCTCGAAGGAGATGACAAGACAGACCTGAGCCTTGAAAGACAGGTAAATGTGAGCTGTGAACAATGTTGGGAAGGGTATTCAAGGACAAGGGTAGTGTAGGCGAAGGCACAATGGAGAAGAGAACCTTCTCATCAAGACAAGGAAAGAGACTGCTGAGGCTGGACAGAGTGAAGCAGCACCCGCCCAGGGCAGAGGAGCTTCTGCCAGGCACCCCCTCCCGGTGAATCTGCCCCCTAGTCCCACCCAGGCGGGTGGAGCAAAGTGTGAAGGAGTGAGTGGGCAAGTGCGTTCTGACTGGGTGTAAATCAAGCAGCGGAGGA